TAACTTCATTCGAGGGTCATACAGAAGTATCAACTTAAAAATTAGCTGTGAAAAAAGCTCCTAGATTTATTGAATTTCAAGTCCCGCCTGTGGTTGCCTTGGCAGGGCTAGACCAAATAATTTCTTGGGTCAGGTGTTCCTAACCCCTGACCTAGATGTACCAGTTGTTAACATTTTTACTGTAATTGCTGCTGCCCTGACCCTTACTCCTTCTCCTCTTGTCTGTCTGTCTTTCCCTTCCTCCCTCACTACACACACACAAATACATATTTAGGTATATATAAACATATTAAGTATATATCCAGGTAGATGCTGAACCATTTGAGAGTTGCAGACATGATAACATTTCAACCATGTATGCCCTAAGAATCAAGGACATTCTCCCACATAACCAAATACAGTTATCACAGTTGAGAAACTTAACAGTGACATGATTACCTGAAATACCTTCAACATTCAAATTTCTCCATTTCCCAGTAATGTCCTTCACAACAATTTTTTTCTCCCCAGATCCAGAATCTGGGAAATGAAGGATCATATATGCATTTGTTTTGTCTCCTTCAATGTAGAAGTAATCTGTAGCCTTTTTTTGGGGGGAGGGTTTCATAGTATTGACATTTTTGAAGGGTACAGGCCAATTTTATAGTATGTTTCTCAATTTACATTTGCCTGCTTACTCGTGATTAGATTCAGGTTAATATTTTAAGCAGGAAGAATACCTAAGTGGTGATATGTCTTATGTGCATCATATCATATTGGAAGGCACATGATGTCAGTTTGTCCCATTATTGATGCTGTTAAATTTGATCACTTGATTTTTATTTTTTTAATATATCTTTATTGATTTCAGAGAGAGGAAGGGAGAGGGAGAGAGAGAGATAGAAGCATCAATGATGAGAGTCATTGATAGGCTGCCCTCTGCACTCCCCCAACTGGGGATCGAGCCCACAACCTGGGCACGTGCCCTGACTGGGAATCGAACTGAGATCTCCTGGATCCTAGGTCAGTGCTCAACTACTGAGCCACGCTTGGCCGGGCCGATCACTTGATTAAAGGTAGTGTTTGCTATACTTCTTTAAGGAGTTTTTTCTTTGTAATTAATAGACTGTAGGATGATACTGAATAATGCATCTTCCCCAATTTTCTCACCCAATGATTTTAGCATCCATTGACAATTCTTGCCTCAATTATTACTTTAGTGACTGCAAAAATTTTATAATTCTATTTCTTCTACTTTTATTAGCTGGCATTTTTCTGTAAAGAAGGACTTTTGTTCCCTGCTGTATTTCTCTCTCTCTCTCTCTTTTTTTTTTTTTTTTTTTTTTCTNGCCTCAATTATTACTTTAGTGACTGCAAAAATTTTATAATTCTATTTCTTCTACTTTTATTAGCTGGCATTTTTCTGTAAAGAAGGACTTTTGTTCCCTGCTGTATTTCTCTCTCTCTCTCTCTTTTTTTTTTTTTTTTTTTTGCTACTATTGCTCTGGACTCAGGAATTCTTTTTTTATTCAATTGGTTATGTTTCATTCTTGTCATTATTCATTTTTGTTGTTGTTAATCCTCACCCAAGGATATATTTTTTCCATTGATTTTTTTTTTTTAGAATAAGAGGGCAGGAGAGAGAGAAACATCTGTGTGAAAGAGACACATTAATTGGTTGCCTCCCACACTCTCCCCAACCAGGCAGAGACTGAACCTTCAACCCAGGTACCTGCCCTTGACTGGGAATCTAACCTGCCACCCTTCGGTATGCGGGACAATGCTCCTAACCATGGAGCCACACTGGCCAGAGCATCTTTATTCATTTTGAGGCTCATCTTCTAAATCTGACCAGTGTGAGCCCTTTCGGGTTGGTTCCTGTGCCCTTGTGATGCTTTCATCTGTTTTTGAGCATTTTGTTGCCTTTACAACAATATGTTTTAGGCTCACTTTGTATTCTTCCTGCTATAGTCTTGGAATTAGCTATTTTGCCAAGTAAGTCCTGTTCCATTTTAGTGGGGAGTGATGTTAGAAATAAAAATTTGGGTGTTGAGGGTGCTTTTTCTACTGGGATATCACTGCTCCTAGATGCTTTCAGTGGACAGATCTAGAGACTGTATGTATATTTTTTATATAAGCATGAATTCAAAATACGACTTCTAATTTCTAACCCCCAAGGATTATTTTTTCCTCATTCCATTTTGCATGTCTCTCTTCTCATGTTAAAGACCCCAATTCCCCAGAACTCTCAATATATCTACTCATTATCACTCCCAAGAACAAACCTAAGTTGAAGATTTTTTTTTTGCATTTCTTTTTGTCCATAGACTGTTGTTTGTAATTGTTTGTAATTAATTAATTACTTAACATAAGTACTTGATGGTTTCTTAAAACAGTTTACGTTGAATGATTAAAAATTTTAGGTGGAGAACCCTCATTTTTACTTGACATTTCCCCCCCGTAAAAAGAATGTAGTTTGATATTTATTTAATATAAAAGTTTTGTGCACAGGTAACAAATACAGTTTTTACAAATCTGTTTTGAAAATGTGGTTTATTTGGGTTTCATACTCTTAATTACTTCATCAGTTTTTTCACTTCTTTGCATCTTGTAACTGCTTGGCTCATACAGTCCTGAATTTTAGCTCCAGTCCACTTACACCGGGTTTGTGAAGACAACATAGCTTGCCTTGTTGTCTATTACTACTGTTAGGGTTCCAGTTGCCAGATGTTCCTTCTCCCCAATAGGGTCAATTATGAGCAGAGTGTCGTCAAACACCGCAAAGGAAGTAGCAACTGGATTAGTTCTAATGTTCAAATATCTCTTCTTTAAATTAACTTCTGCTAAAGCAGTTTCTTCATTTATAGTAACTTCAGGCAACTGTACATTTTTTAAAGCTGCTAACAAAGCAAATGTATAGGCATCCAAAATATTTCCATCATAGTCAACACAAATGAGATTACATTGTAGAACCCAAGCAAACTTTCCTGGAGAAATGTGTTAAGTCCTCTTTTTTAATTACCTTTGAATTTTCAGTGGCATCTGCAGTGAACTGGCTAGCCACTTGGGCCTGTTCTCCAGGAGGTCCAGACTGAAATTTCTACAGAGGTGGTAGATCCACGTTAGGAACAACATACCCTTTATCAGGGGCATCTGTTGGTGGTACTGCAGATTCCACAAATTACTGTAGTAGTTTCCAGCTTCACTGGAGCAGAATCACCTACAGTACTAATGGGACCTATGTTCACAGTTGTGGTTCTGAATTCACCAAGTTCTCTTCCATCAGGATGGGAATTCTCTTTCAAAAATCTCATGTAATACTCCAGAGATTCCACAGTTCTGAACCCAGCCGCCATCTTCCTGCCTGTAGGTGCCTGTGCCTGACAGTATTCTTTTCAAAATTATTTTTATCTAATGGTCCCATAGGATTTGTTGTGATATAGTAATTTGCTAATTTTAAAAACTGAATCCTATTTTAGTACAATAGTTGCGTGTGTCCCAAGGGATATGTGATACAATAGTTTTTTGCTTGTAAAGCAAAGATGTATTTCAAATTGACTCATTTAAATTTCATGTTACTTTTAAGAGAGCTCAGATTACTGGAATGGTTGCTTTTCGGAAACTTTATTTTACCTTAGGCAGGAGGTATTCATAAAAGACACAGGAGAAAAAAAATGGAGGCTATAAATTAGATGCGAAAATCAGATCAGAAAAAAATTAGAGACTAAGAACTACAACTAGGATATTAGTTCTAAATAATCAGTTAATTTAGTTCTGAGCTTCTTGGCAGTCTTGTTAAAAGAGGAAATACCCAGTTGGATGACTTTCATTGTTTAAGAAAAGAAAACCAAGTTTTTTGTAATTGTATTATAGGAAGGATTTCATTGTGGGAATCATACCTATTTTTGCAGTAAATGTACAAGTGTTTCTTGCATGATTATTTTAGTGCTGTTGAATGCATAAAATTAAATCATAGTTTAAAGAAGGCATTTCTGTTTTCTGATCTTTCAGGAACTGAATTTAGGAAATGTAAGGAAATCGTTAGTTAACATGCCCCTTAGACTCTCAAATACAAATAACTGTATGTCACAGCACAATAGCTCAGGAGGTCTGTTTGAAACTTGATTGTTAGTGATATACAATTATTAGTTGTTTCAAGTGAGCTGGAGGATAATACATGGTCTTTGGTTTTATTCTCTGAATACTAAAGTATAGATGTTTTAGGGTATTTATATTAAAGAAAGATTCAAACGCTTTTTGTAGTTCTGTCTGGTGCTAAGTACTAGGGAGACCCTAGAAAGCACACACTATTTCCATACCTCAAAAAGCTTATTTTCTTTTCTAAGTTTATTAGAAAATTTTACAAATAGTAAACAACTTGAATACACATTTGGAACACTTAGAATACTTCAAAAAATATTAAATGCAAGGTACTAATTTTGCAAGTCAGAAAGTTTTATCTTTGAATGTTTACTTGTACTGTTCTGACCAAGAGTATATTGGTTTTGCTGTCCATTCTGATTTTACAGTTAAATTTTCCCCAATCTTTATTGACTTCAATTTTCTGATTAGGTTTGATTTATGAATCATAAGTCTAGAAATGTGGCACAAGTATAACTTGATTTTTCCCTTTGGCCTCCAACAGGACTTTTTTATAAAATCAAAATTAGGACAGATGGTTTAATCTATATTCAGGGAAGAGTGTTGCAGAGTCCCTGGTAATTCCTTGTCCCAGGGTTTGAAAACCTTTTTCATTATTATCTATTAACCAAAATCCCTGCTGCTGTAAAACTATTTTCCTTAGTTTATTCTTAGTGAAAACACAACATACCCTTATGATTATAGTAATGACACCCTCATTTTTCCCTTCACTCTAAAAGACTCTTTCTTCTTCAACACAATTTCGACTACTTTTACTAACCCAAGTTAATTTTAGATTCTATTGCTGAAAGCCTCAGTTTTGCCATTTATTGAGGTGTTAATTGAAATATTAATGTATTTAGAGCAGAAATGTCGTTTTTTAGGGAATCTAGAGCAACAGCAAAGCTGAGGTCAAACTGCCATAAGGATGGACACCAAGGAAGCTGTGTTTGGGACAAAAAGAAATCAAGATAAGGTAGATGCAAAGTAGAGAAAAGCACTGGACCCTGGGGGGTGGGGGGTGGTAGGTGGGAGTGGGTTGTATGCCTCTAATGGCAAAGAATAGTTAGATTTCTGAAGAGGAAGCCATGGAAGGCTTATAGGAAATATTAAGGATTTGGGTTTAAGTACTACTTTCCCTCTGAATGTATAAGTTTTAGCTGACTTTTAGCTAGCAGAATACTTTAAAAGTTGATAAGGTTAAGTGTTTCAATGGGGTGGTATTAATTGATAAAACCATTTCCAAAACCCAGCTTCAGCACTAATGCCTGTTATTGCTTGGAAGTCAAAAGGGAATATCCGTTTGAAGCATTAAACTGACAAAATCAGTACAGAACATTTAATTTTTCCTTTTCTTTATGTGATATAAAGATTGCGTTTTTCTCCATAGCAACATGAACCGTGAAGACCGGAATGTGCTGCGTATGAAAGAACGGGAAAGGCGGAATCAGGAAATTCAGCAGGGTGAAGACGCCTTCCCACCTAGCTCTCCTCTCTTTGCTGAGCCATACAAAGTTGTAAGTTGTCCTCTGAATATTTCCCCTCAATACTATGATATTTTTGTTTTTAAAATGTTTAAACTTGAGTTTTTATATTAGAAAAGAGTTATGTATACTATTTCCTCTGAATGAAATGTACTTTGTTGAGGTACTTTTATTGGAGTATAACATGGGTACAGAAAAGTATACAAATTGTGTTATAGCTAAAAGAATTTTCACAACATGAACAACCTGATATAATTAGTACCTAGATCAAGAAATAGAGTATTACTAGGGCCCTAAAGTCATTGTCATTGCCCACCCCCCAATTGCTACCTATAATTTTGAAAATGTGATCTGGATTAGCTCAAACATTCATGTCTATATTCTTGGCTCTACTACTAACTCTGGGCAGGTATTTCACCTTTCTAAGCCTTAAATTAAGTTAAAATTTTGTCAATCAACCTTCATTGTCTGCTCTTTCTTAGGTTCTTTGGGTATAACATCAATCAAAGATGAATACAGTTCATAGATTCTTTTGTTTCTGCCTATTTTTGCTTTCTTGGTTAACTAAGTTTCAGTGACTTACTAGTATGTTTGAATAAATTTATCTTCAGTATCAATCTGTTTCTTTTGCTGTTATCACATATTATCTGATTTTCTTTCTAATGTATTTAAAGCTTAATTAACAGTATCAGATTTAGATTAAAGCATGTTGTCAGAGGTGTTCAATAAATAGAACCAATTGCTATTTTTATAACTACCATTGTACTTGATTTGAGATTACATAAAACACTGAATGATATCACTTTGATTACTAATGTAGCTGTGGTAGCCACAAATGTCTCTAATATTTGATTTGGCTTTGTGTTTCATTTGAACTATTTTTACATTTTAAAGACTTATATTTTGCATAATAGCTATAATACAATGTATAGCAGCAGTATTGACCATTATTGGTATACAGTATGAGATTGAGAGTGTGTTAGACTTTTTTCTCATGAAATACAAATGTAACATATCCTGGCTTTACCTTTAAAACATTTGGTGTTTATGGAAACCAAATGAGATCTGTAAAAGCCATGTATTCAGAGCTTCTAAGGATTTTCTAATTAAAGGCAGTTATACTGACATGATTTATATGAGCGTAACACAAAACCTGGGATTTGGGATTAGTGATTAAAATCATACTGCCATTTATTTTATAATTACACTGTAATGAATTGGATTTTATTTCTAATCTTTATGTTGTCTATAAATTGCTGTATATTTCTCTCTCTTAATAGGGATCAGACTGATTTTCAGATAATGTAAAGTCGTTACCGATTCATGCCAACCTCAAAATAAAATAGTGGTAGCTCAGTCTTGATTTCCTTTTTAATGTAATTGGTAAACTTTCTTTCTTCCATGTGTATGAATATGAAAGAGTCCTAAAGCTTGGAGACATCTTGAACTTTCTTATTATCCAAGAATAATTCTTGAAGTTTAAATTATGTACTGTTGACTTTAAATATTGGAGCATTCATTGGTCAGAATCAGTAATTAGGATTTAAAACTTATTTATTTATTCATTTAAATTAAATTTATTGGGGAGAATTTTAAACTTTTATCAGTAGATTTTCCATGCTTAATTTGTGGCTGGAACTTTTATTAACTTAATGAATCAAAGTGACAGAGGGATTAAAATTTAAAAAAAAACAGCTGGGTATAACTTGTTTCACTAAATTTTTGAATTATTAGGAATATAATGTTTTCCTAGACTGTCAGTGTATGAGTGTTGACTGATCTGCTGACCTGGAACTTAATTACGTAAAGGCGGATTACTTTTCCTGTTGTTTAAAAGATTTTCAGTCTGTTTCAGTATATTTATTGGTGAAATTTGTATTTTTTCCTTCCTGGAATCTATTATATATATATATATTTCTCAGTGTCCTATAGAATATTTGTGTTTTATCATAAATGTTTTTCACTTTCATGAATTTTTTCACCATAAAAATGACCTATCTGGAGTTTGCTTTGAGATGTTAACCTTAAAATATGAAGAAGGACCCTTTCCATTTGAAGTTTGGAAAGTCAGTTTTAGAAGCATCTTTTATTTCCAGTTATGCTAATTGTATAATTATATTTTACATTTTTTTGTAGACTAGCAAAGAAGATAAGCTATCAAGTCGTATTCAGAGTATGCTTGGAAACTACGATGAAATGAAGGATTTCATAGGAGACAGATCCATACCAAAGCTTGTTGCAATTCCCAAGCCTACAGTACCACCGTCAGCAGATGAAAAATCTAACCCAAATTTCTTTGAACAGAGACATGGGAGCTCTCATCAGAGTAGCAAATGGACTCCAGTAGGACCAGCACCCAGCACATCTCAGTCTCAGAAACGTTCCTCAGGCTTACAGAGTGGACACAGTAGCCAGCGGACCAGTGCAGGTGGCAGTGGTGGCAATAATAGTAGTAGCCAGAGGCATGACCGTGATTCATATAGCAGTAGTGGGAGCAGTAGCCGGAAAAAAGGCCAGCATGGATCAGAACACTCCAAATCACGCTCTTCCAGCCCGGGGAAACCCCAGGCTGTTTCTTCATTAAGCTCCAGTCATTCCAGGTCTCATGGGAATGATCACCATAGCAAGGAACATCAGCGTTCCAAATCACCTCGGGACCCTGATGCAAACTGGGATTCTCCTTCCCGTGTACCTTTTTCAAGTGGGCAGCACTCAAATCAGTCTTTCCCACCTTCATTGATGTCAAAGTCCAGTTCAATGTTACAGAAACCTACTGCCTATGTACGGCCCATGGATGGACAGGAGTCCATGGAACCAAAGCTGTCCTCTGAGCACTACAGCAGCCAATCCCATGGCAGCAGCATGGCTGAACTGAAGCCCAGCAGCAAAGCACATCTCACCAAGCTGAAAATACCTTCCCAACCACTGGATGTAAGTTACCCATTTAGAACTTTTGACATTGTGACTGTGTGAAGCAGTTTACCATGAAATTATTGTTGAACTTCAAGTGTCCATTTGTTTTAATAGTAAGAAATGTAAAAGTTTAAAGGAGGACTTGTGATTGACTCCCAAGCGGTGCATAGAGCTGCTCACTTCCCCTCTTGGGCAGTAGAGAAAATGTCATTCACTGTTTCAAACAATAAAATGATGAGTCGGTTATAGAATAAAAGTATGATATATGAGTATGTTAGATTTCCTCCTTTTGATCTATGAATATCTTAGATTTCCTCATGCCCAGGTGGCCCAGCGTTTTCCCATACACCAAAAGGTTGCGAGTTTGATCCCCGCTCGGGGCTCAAAGATCTCCCTCACATCGATGTTTCTTACATTGATGTTTCTCTCTCTTTTTCTCTCATCCCCTCCTCCCTCCCTCGCCCCCCTCCTCTTCCTAAATTCAATAAACACATCCTCAGGTGAGGTTAAAAAATTAAAGGTAATGGTAGTAGCTGAAAATCACAGCTCATAGCTTAAAACATTTGTGGGGGGTGGTCGGTGTCAGGTATAGGTAAAATGCTTTTTCGAGAACATTTGAAAATCTTTTCTTTGGCCCTGAGAAACTCATTGTTCATGGCATTTGTCATCTAATTACTCCTCTGAAGAGAAGAAAGTGGTAATTTATTCTTTCTTCAAACAACATGATCCTTAGAATTAGACTTGAGTTCAAACTCCCGCTTTTTAATTCCTGTTTGTGCCTTAAAATAAACAACTTCCACATTTAAGAAAGGCTATGTAAAATGTCCATCATGTTCCAGACAAGTAATTTTTCAATAATACTGGTTTTATTCTGTTTGTTAGTTTATGTGAAATGATGTACCTCAGTGTCATGTTTTTGGTGTTTTTTGTTTGTTTGTTCATTTTTTGGTTAATTCTCATCCAAGGATATTCTTTCCATTGATTTTTTTTAGAGAGAATGGGGGGGGGAGATAGAGACATCGATATGAGAGAGACACATCGATTGGTTGCCTCCCTCGTGTGCCTCAACGGGCTGGGGATCCAAACTGCATCCGAGGTACGTGCCCTTGACTGGAACTGAACCTGAGACCCTTCAGTCAATGGACCAACGCTCTAACCACCAGCTAGGCCTCATGGGTTTTTTGCGTATAAATTTTTAAATATTTTGACAAGCTGCTTATCTGAATAAATACATTTAAAAATTATTTCTAGTCTAAGTATAGGAAAGATATTTTAAAGCTTTTGAAAAATATAAAGTTTTAAAATCATGTACAGTTTGGTGATTAAAATTCTTTTAGTTTTTGAAAAATTTGTATTTAAGAAAATTAGTTCAAAGATTCTAATTAGTGTTCTGATGTGGAGTGGTGGGATCATAAGTACGTCTTTAAACTGAGGTTTGTTTCTAATAATTTTCTTGAATTTGTGCAACAAATGATAAAAATCTAATAATAACTTCAAATCTAATATGTGTTTCTTCTTTCTTAAGGCATCTGCTTCTGGTGATGTGAGCTGTGTAGATGAAATTCTTAAAGTAAGTTGTGTGTTTTCTTTTTAATAGGTTCAACTCTCTTATTTAATTATGCTCTGCCACTCTCTTACCTTCTTTCCCCTCTATTTCACAAAGGATCTGAAGCAACAGATTGCTCACATGTATAACTTGATTATGTCCATCAAAAATAATTGACTATTTATTATGCTGATAGTCATACTTATGTTCTAAATCACTTGGTTTGTTTACTTTTCTATTTAAAGAGCAGTTTTTGTTTTTAAGTAAAACAAATTTCAGTCTTAACTGTTCCCCTTAAAAAGAGGAAGGAACCAAATATAACTGTACTTTCTCAGGTTTCTCTGTTAATAATTTGAAGTGCTAAAAAACTCAGTAGTTACAGTCAAACATTGAAAATAGCTTGCTTTGTAATTCATCTGCACTACTGATCAAATTCTACACTGAAAGACCTCCTCTGAATAATGCATATTTTGAGTGTTTAATGGAATATGTTTAAAGTTGATACATGACCAAAAAGTATATTCCTCCATTGAGAAAAGAAAAAGAGGAAGTCCAGTGATATATCTCAGTATCATGGTATATTTTGTATATAAATTTTCAAATTTTTTGACCAGCTGCTCACTTGCATAATTACATTTAAAAATTATTTCTAATCTAAGTGTAAGAAATATATTTTAAAGATTTTGAAAAATATAAAATCTTTTATATTCTGCTTTTGACTCAATAGAGAAAAACCATCAGAAACATATTACTAGGACTTTTTGGAAAAGCTCCTAAATTTTTGTGTCTGCACTTGGCATTTCGTTATGGATGCTTTGGAAAGACTACTTGCACTGGCTAAGACTACTTGCACTGGCTGCGTTTGCTTTACTCTCCCCTCTTCTCCTTTGGCCCACTATAACCTCTCTTTTACCTCTGCCACTCCATGGAATCTGTTCTGTAACGTTATTGGAGACTTTATTTGAATACTCTGCTCTTTTTGCTGTTTTAAAGAATTTTTATTTTTTCCTCTGGAAACATTCTTCCTTTCATGACTGTTGATATGCTTCTTTGTTTTTATTTACCAGCCATCTTTCTTGTCTTTCATTCTCTGCCTTTGGGGAACCTTGTGTCTTCTCTTACCTTTTAAATATGGGTGCATTTTCTAGCCACCTCTTTTTGCTCTTTTAGTTGCTCTTTTCTCCGTTTTTTTTTTTTTTCTTTATCAGACAGCTGTTCAGTCCTTCTCTTCTGCCTTGGTCTCCTTTGGGTTTTGGTTTATGTCTCTTAGTTGTTTTTTTAACTGGCTCTCCATTTGGATTTCTCCCTGCTGCTTCAGATTCAACATGACTAAATTTATCAGATTTCCTTCCATTAGTAGTACCACCATTCTCCCATGCTTATAAGTGTAGAATTCTAATTATCTGTCATTTCTTTCTTTCATGTTCTACTTTATCACAGAACTACTTGTAGACTTTGAAAATTCCTTGTAATAGTCATTCATGCCTTTATTTCCGTTTCTGTCATCTTGGGCTTCAGTAATTGCAGTGTACAGTCCTCACTCTGCGTTTCTGCCTTTCAGTCTCCCTGCTCATTTGTCTTCCGTATTGCTACCAGGTTCAACATTCCAGACCTTCCACAGGCCAGTCCTAACCTCTCCCACTACTGATTAACCAAACTGGTTTCCCTAATTCATATACTTTCTCGCTCTTTTACCTTTTTTTAAAAAAACTTCCATGAAATGTGTTTCTCCTTCTTCTTGAGTTACATATAAATTCTGTTTTTTCTTAGAATCCTAATGCAATTATTCTTCCCCCTGTATTAGACTGTCAGAGACCATAGTGATAAATTCTTTCCTTTGATTTTTCAGTATTCATTTTTCAGTTGCCATGTATATAAAAAGTCTAAGGAAGCATATATCTTTTCCCCAAATCCTCAAAAATGCATGGCATTCTAATACCTAGAAGAAATCTTAAATTTTCTTATATTTAATTATTTCTTTGATGTTACTGAAAATTTATTCTGAATGTATATATACAGCGTGGCATATAGCCTTGAGAGTAATAAGTGCTCAGTCATTTGATGATGGAGAGTTAAGTAGATTTTCTGTTGAGGGTATTTTGGTATTTGAGGTGTAAAATGCCAACACTGAAAACCTGGGGTATATGGTTTTCTGTTTTGTTTTCCCTTCCCTGTGTGCAGTGGGCAAGGAATTTCAGGTCTGAATTCCCTTCATGTTTTCTTGACATTTGTAGTCATACTGTTTCTAGGAGAGACTTAAAGAAAAAAAAAATTCTAATCTAAAAGCAATATGTATTTACTGTAAAAAGAAAGAGATTCGTTAATTCAAGTCTTACTAATTGAACACCTACTATGTGTCAAGCACTGGGGATATAGTGGTGATAATAATGACACTCTTGCACCCTTTGAGCTGACATTGTAGAGCAGGATTTAGGAAATCAACTATTATTTCAGTAAGTGAAATGCCATTAAATAAAGCATTGTAAGAAGATAAAGAGCAATTATAGTGCAGGTGGCTGTTCCAGAGTTTCAAGTAGTAAAAACTGTATTAAATGCCCTTGTCTTTGCCCCTTCTGTCATTCTATTGCCCAAAGGTAACTATCTTCTGGAGATTTTTTTTCATATATAAACATTTACTAGGACATAGACTATGATTTGTGTTTGTCATTTAATATACTGTGGACATCATTTCATAACAGTATTTAAATTTCTCATTTTACTGTCTGCTTGGTGTTCCATTATATGGATGTCTGATAGTTTAATTATTCCTGTGTTATTTAACATATAGGTTGATTCCATTTTTTAAGTGTGAGCTGCTTGAACATGTATCTTTACACAACTGTGTGGGTATAAGCTGTAAGGTAAATTTCTAAAAGTTATAAAACCTTTACTATACTTTTTCTGTATACTTGATTGTTTACTTTGAGCTAAATGCCAGAATAAAACACTCCCTCCTTATTCCAAGTCTGATACCTCTCTCCCCTCTACTCCCGTAGTATGCACATTGTGATCTTAACCAAACCTCCACTTGGACATAGTTGGCATATGATTAGACAGAAGGCCTGATTGAATAAAATCAGACTTACGGCCTTACTTGTCTGTCTTCCTGCTCATGTGCTTTTAATACCTCTCTTCTGATTTTTTCTGACCAAAATTTCCTATCAGTGAATAGGCTCTGTGGCCAAACATCCCAGGATGAAATTCTATGTTCATTACTTACTAGGTGTGTTACCTTGAATAAATAACTTAACCTCTGTGCTTCAGTTTCATCCTACGTAGACTCAGGATAATAATGGTTATCTACCTCATAATGTCATTGTGAGCACTATGTGAGTAATAGACATGTAAAACAGCATGGTATCTGGCTCATTACAGGTACACAATAAATGTTAGCTGCTTTTATTATTATTCCCCTGCTCCCACTCCCACAGCAAGCTCTTCCTTAGTAGCATTTTACTATGTGCCTTGTATTTGATTACAAGCTGATTTCTGTAACTATTCACAGGTTTTATCATCTTAACTCTAAGCTCCTTGAAGCCAGAGAGTGTATATTATTTATTTTCCTATTACCTGCCCCATAGTGCCTTGCACACATCGTGCCTAATTGGTACTTGTTGATTAAATATGTATACTTTTGGAGGAGCAATCGTGAAACCAGCATTTCTAATACAAATCTGGTTTTTAGCTGTGTAATTTTTATCCTTGACCTGGTTGAAAACAAACTGTAATAATTACATTTCAGGAGATGACGCATTCATGGCCTCCCCCTCTAACGGCTATTCACACACCATGCAAAACAGAACCTTCCAAATTTCCTTTTCCAACTAAGGTAAGTAAATAAAACATATCTTTGATACTATAAGAAAAATCTAAATGGCTTGACTAAAATCATATGAATTCATAATTGTCTTGCCATTCCCATTCTAGTGGGAGACAGACAGTAAATGAGAATAAGTAGATAAATTCAGCTAGTGATAATTGCTATGAAGAAATAAAATCAGATAGTGGAATCAAGAGTGATTTAAATTCAGAGGTACTTGAAAAGCTTTGAAGGCAACATGTAGAAGAGACTTTTAAGTTTGTTGCAAACTATTATGGTATTCTAGGCGGTATTCTAGGTGGTAAGGTCTTCTCAAACTGTTGTCTGAGAAACTCCTTTTCATAGGATATAAAAACCATATTTATGTCATATGGAAAAAGGTTTCTCAGACAAAAATTCCAAGCTCAACTAAAATCAGCAGATTTTTTAAATATTAACTTATACAAATTATACAAGAATACATTCTCTTTGTGTAGTTTGGTCAGGACTTCTAATAATAGCCTTCCTCAGTTCTGCCGCTTCATCTCATTTGAGCTCCTTTCATATATAACTGTAAGAATTTTCATTTGTATTTACATACATATTATGTAATCATTACATGTAAGCATTTTCTCATTATTTATATACAGATTTATTGTTTTGTAGTCTTAGTCAGCAATAGGTCTTCAAGACCTTTTCTTGTTATTATACATATATATTATCTATAGATTATAAGTAGATAATATATTACATATAGAGGTATTTCATTTTTTAAAATTGCAACCATAGTATAAATGTATCTTATTATTTAGCCATTTCCCTTTGGTATTTAAGTTGTTGCCAAGTTTTCATTTCTGTAAACATTTCTTTAGTGGATATCTTTGTTCATTCCTTCTAGTGTGCATGCAAGTTTCTTTTGGGTAAAAAGCAAGAAGTAGAATTACTGAGTATTGAAAGTATATGCTTAATATATACTCTCAAATTCCCCCCGAAGTGGTTGTACCAGTGAGTGCTCCCACTTGTGTTCCCTATTTTTCCTCACATGCACACCCCTATTTGTTATTTTAACCACCATTCTTTTGGGTGAAAAATGGCATTCCATTTCCTGGATTGCTAGTAAAGTTCATCATCTTTACATGTTTGTCATCCATTTGATTTCTGTATGGATGAATTTTCCCACATCCTCTACCCTTTGGGTTGCATCTTTCACCTGTGAGTTTTAGGAGAATTTCTTGTTTTGCTCTATGTTGTTTTGTTTGAATTGTGGATTCTGGTATTTTTATTTTTTTAAAAAATATGTCTTTATTGATGTCAGAGAGGGAGAGAGAGAGAAACATCAGTGATGAGAAGAGTCATTGCTTGACTGCCTCCTGCACGCCCCCGACCAAGGATCGAGCGCGAACCCGGGCATGTCCCCTACTGGGAATCGAACCTAGATCTCCTGGATCATAGGTAGATGCTCAATGGCTGAGCCATGCCGGCTGGGTGGATTCTAATATTTTCTTTTACTACATATTGCAGATATATTTCCCAGAGTCCTTTTAAGTTTTATGGTCTAGAAGGTTTTAATTTTGATGAATAATTGTATTTTCCTCTTTCTTGTATCTTTTGCTTCTTAATGTCTTGTTAAAGAAGACTATTCATTCCCTAGGATTATAAATCTATCCTCTTGTTTTTCTTTCAGTGTGATTGAAGTTTTGTTTTCTAAGTTTATATTTAGCCCAGTTTATTTTTGTGAATGATGTTACATAGAGATAAAACTTTCTGCCCATATGTGCGCCATACTACTCTTTTACTTTTTAAATCAATGTTCACAAATTAAAAACTGCACAGGTATTTAATGTACAGTCCGAATTTTGATAGATGTGTGCTCCTTTGTAACCACCACCCTAATCAAGAATGAGAACATTTCCATCACCCTCAAAAGGTCCCTTACGTTCTTTTGCAGTCCTCCTTACTCCCACCACTGGCCCCACACAATTGCTGATTTGTTTTACATCATTGATAAGTTTTGCTTTTTCTAGATTTTCATATAAATAGAATCCATTCAGTATTTACTTCTTTTGCATATATGGTTACCCTCTTTTAAAAAATATATATATTTTTATTGATTTCAGAGAGAGGAAGGGAGGGAGGGAGAGAGAGAGAAACATCAATGATGGGGATCGAGCCCGCAACCTGGGCACTTGCCCTGACTGGAAATCAAACCTCCATCTCCTGGATCATAGGTTGACACTCAACCACTGAGCCATGCCAGCCAGGCTGGTTACCTTCTCTTTTTTTTAAATTTATTTATTTATTTCTTTTTTAAATATATCTTTATTGATTTCAGAGAGAGGAAAGGAGATGGAGAGAGAGATATAAAAACATCAATGATGAGAGTCATGGATTGGCTGCAGCCCGCAACCCGGGCATGTTCCCTGACCGGGATTCGAACTCCGATCTCCTGGATCCTAGGTCAACACTCAGCCGCTGAGCCACACCCGGCTGGGCTGGTTACCTTCTTTTTGATCAGCATATACTTTTGGAATTCTTCTATGTTCTTGAATATATCAGTAATATGTTCCTTTTAATTTTTGAGTACCTTTTTATTTCTGTTGTACCAAAGTTTATTCATTCACTTGGTGAACATTTGAGTTGTTTCCAGATTTGGGCTAACAAGAAATTAAGTATAAACATTCATTTACAAGTCTTCCTATGGATAAATACTGGGTTGTATGGTAAAAAATAGAATTACTGGGTCATATGTTGAGTGCGTGTTAAATTAATACTAAACTGAAAACTATTTTTCAAAGTGATTGTATCACATTCCTTCTTCCCCCCACGCCCATCCCTAGCAGTGTATGATAGCTTTCGTTCTCCATACTTGCCTACATTTGGTATTGTCAGTCTATTTAGTTTTAGCCATTTTATTGGGCATGTAGAGATACCGCATTTTGATTTTATTTATTTATTTATTTATTAGTTTTTAAATACATCTTTATTGATTTCAGAGAGAGGAAAGGAGAGGGAGAGAAAGATAGAAACATTAACGATGAGAAAGTCATTGATCGAGCCCGCAACCCGGGCATGTGCCCTGACCGGGAATCGAACCCTGATCGCCTGGATCTCAGGTCGATGCTCAACTGCTGAGCCACGCCCAGCCGGGCTTGATTTTAATTTGTATTTCCCTCATGACAAATGGTGTTGCACTTCGTTTCATGAGCAAATTAACCATTCTTTTTTTTTTTTGAAGTGTCAGTTCAAACCCATTGTCTTTTTTGTGTGTGTGTGGTGGTGGTGGTGGTGGCAGGGTTAGGGGTGTTTGTAGTTTTCTTTTCTTACAATGTCTTTGGTTTTGGTGTCAGGGTAATACTGGCTTCCTCAATGGAGCAAGGAAGTGTTCCCTTATCTTTACTTTCAGAAATAGTTTTTTAATGTTAGTATTAATTCTTCCTTGAATGTTTAATGTAATTCAACCGTGAAACTGTCTGGACCTATAGAGTTCTTTATTAGAAGTTTGTAAATTACAAATTTAATTTCTTTGTTAGATAGATAGCTATTCAAATTTTTAATCCCTTCTTGTGTGAATTTTGGTAATTATTTATTTTATATAAGTACTCAAATTTATTGCATAGATTTATATATAATATATACTTATTCCTTTAATGTCTATAGGAACTCTAGTGAAATCCTTTTCCCTCTGATGTTAGTGATTTGTATTTTTTCTCTGATCATTCTAGCTAGAGGTTTATTAGTTTTATCAATCATTTCCAAGAACCATCTTAGGTTTTCTGTTTTCTATTTCTTTTATTTTTGCTTTTATTGTGATTATTTTCTTCTTTCTACTTATTCTGGGTTTTATTTGTTTTTCTTCTAACTTCTTAAGGTGGAAACTTAGATCATAGATTGTAAACAATTCTTTTTATTTTTTTATTTTTTAAATATATATCTTTATTGATTTCAAAGAGAGGAAGGGAGAGGGAAAGAGAGATAGAAACATCAATGATGAGAGAGTCATTGATTGGCTGCCTCCTGCATGCCTCTGACTGGGGATCGAGCCCATAACCACGGGCATGTGCCCTGACTGGGAATCAAACCTTGATCTCCTGGATCCTAGGTTGATGCTCAACCGCTGAGCCACTCCCAGCCGGGCAACAATTCTTGTTTTAAGTATTTAAAACTACCAATTTCCCTCTAAGCCCTGCTTTAGTTGTATCTCACAAATTAGGGTATTTTCTGTGACTTTTTTGATCCATGGGTTATTTAGAAGTTTGTGGTTTTATTTTCAAATACTTAAGGATTTCCTGGATATCATTTTGTTTATTGATTTCTAATTTATGTTCTTTTCAAATAATACTACATGCTGTATAATTTCAGTCCTTTTAAATTTAAATGTTCATGGCCTAGTATATGATCTCTCTTGGTGATTGTTTCATGTGCAGTAGATACAATATGTTCTCTATATATATCAGATCAAGTTGGTTGGGAGTAGTTAAGTAACCTATATTTTTACTGATTTTCTGTCTACTCTTTCAGTTGAAAGGAGAGTGTGAACATCTGCATCTGTATTTACTGATCTGTTTCCGCTTTCAGTTTTGTCTGTTTTTATTTCGTGTATTTTGCAGCTTTGTCATTAGGTACATAACATTTAGAATTGCTGTGTCTTTCAGATGAATTGATCCCTTTTTTACATTATGAGATGTTCCTCTTTATATGTGGTATTAATGTTTGTTTTGATGTCTGTCTGATATTCAGGTCTACATTTATATTCATATAGACACTCTTGCTTTTTTTATTTTATCTCTTGTTTTATTTAATAGCTATGCCTCTTCTTTAATTGTAAAATTAAAGCTTTAGTTTATTAGAAGACTTTAAATATAAGTTCATAATTCTGGCTAATGCCTTCTCTTTCTTTTTTGAGGGTAGCAATTTTATTGAGATATAATACACATGCCATTCAGCTCATCCATTTAAAATATACAACTCACTGGTTTTTAGTAAATTCAGAGTTGTGCAGCCATCAAAAAGAAACCCTGCTAAAAGTTGTT